GGGGGGGGGGGCATAGGGAAGGTACTGAGAGTTTAGAACATTTTGGAAATTAATTAAATACCATTGACGAGATGAGCAGTTGGAATGAAATGAATACATACGATTGATACTTCACTCTCTCGATAGTCGATTATCGGTTCTGAAACCGATAACAGGTTGTTGATTTTTACAAAAAGGATTATTTTCTCCATTTTTAATATAATATATATATTATATATATATATATATATATATATTTATATATATATATATATATATATATAATATTGATAATAATAAAGTTTATTTTAAAAATCACGCTTCATCCCCAAAGGCTCGAAGCACGGTACAAAGTCAACCATATCAAAAGAGAAATGAAAAAATCCATACCACACCACACTGAAACACAAAACGCAACACCACAAATACTGCACACGATAAAACCAAGCCTTTCATCCCCTTGCAAACACAAATAACACAGGCCAATACACATCTAGGAAACAAAAGCCAGCTGACCAAGATGGTAGACAACATCACGACCAGCAGGTGTTTGCGAAATAGATGTGTTTTCAGTTCGGTTTTGAACGACTCCAGTGTCTGGCTGTTTCTGAGAGCGTCAGGAAGTGTGTTCCAAATTGTTGGACCAGCAAATGCGAAAGTGCGCCTTCCGTAAGTCTAAAGGCGAACACGTGGTATCGAGAGTTTGCCGCTGTCGGATGAGCGGATATGACAAGCGACTACAAAGCTGGTCAGTCAGATACCAAGACTTAGTCCTATTCAAGGCATGCTACATTGCAGGGTGAAACAAAAGAGTGGAGAAAGTGCTCCTCTCTATGATGTGAAGTTATCACGCGATTTTTGCGTTGTTCCCTTAAAGTGTTATTATTTCCATTATAAGACATCCGTCACATCATTATTTCTATTTTAAGACACAAGAGGTCACGTTGGTTCTGTTTAAAGTCCCTGTCACGTGACGGCCCTGACCCGATTCTTCACAAATTTCAGGTTGGCGTAGTAGGATGCGTTGAAAACTTTGGTACACATGTACTCATCTCTCGTATGATTGGCCAATTTCTCCTCCAGGCAACCAATCACGAGCCTGTCTTCGTTCAACATGAACTTGTTCGCAAACAAGTGTTTAGCTTGGCCTAGCCGGGGTAGGTCACCTGGTGGTTAGAAATAGTTGTTTTTTTTTAAATTAAAATATCACTAAGTAGGGCGGAAAAAATAATAAAAGCTGATAAATAAAGTAATGAAAGTGAAATGACGTAAACATGGTGTGACATGAAGTGACCATAACGTGACATCATGTAACATAGCATGACATGACTTGAACATGACGGCCTTGGCGTGAACATGGCCTGACATGAAGGGAATATTGCCTGGCATGGCGTGAACATGGCCTGGCATGAAGGGAATATTGCCTGGCATGGCGTGAACATGGCCTGGCATGAAGGGAATATTGCCTGGCATGGCGTGAACATGGCCTGACATGAAGGGAATATTGCCTGGCATGGCGTGAACATGGCCTGGCATGAAGGGAATATTGCCTGGCATGGCGTGAACATGGCCTGACATGAAGGGAATATTGCCTGGCATGGCGTGAACATGGCCTGACATGAAGGGAATATTGCCTGGCATGGCGTGAACATGGCCTGGCATGAAGGGAATATTGCCTGGCATGGCGTGAAATGACGTGGCGATACAGTTACATATCGTGAACAAGTGAACATGGCTTGTCATGACGAGGATATTGCGTGCCATGGCGTGAACATGGCCTGACATGAAGGGAATATTGCCTGGCATGGCGTGAACATGGCCTGGCATGAAGGGAATATTGCCTGGCATGGCGTGAAATGACGTGACGATACAGTTACATATCGTGAACATGACGTGACATGACGTGACATGACGTGAATATTGCGTGACATGAAGTGCGCATAGCGCGGCACTTGAGTATTAGGATTGTAGATTCAATTCAGTGGTTCCGGCTGTCAAAAATGTGAATGTTATTATTTTAGCAGCCATTGATTTTCACTGACATTGTTTGGAAATTTCGTGATAGTTGCTGCTGTCGTGAATGAAGATATTGTGATTGTGAATTCCTGGCTGGGCGATATGAAGGAAGCCGACAGGAATGTTGATATCACAGAAATATGGAGAGAAAAAATGTTTGCCTTAAAACCTTCACAGTGTTGTTACTACTTAAGTCAGCGGTTCTCCCTCTCTGGGTCAGTCCACTTTTGGGGGTCGAACAACCCTTACACAGGGGTCACCTAAGACCATCGAAAAACACATATTTTATGAAGTAGCAACGAAAATAATTTTATGGTTGGCCGGGGGGGGGGGGTAGTAAACACAACACGAGGAACTGTATGAAATGGTCGCGGCATTATGGTGGTTGAGAACCGCTGACTCAAGTGATATGATTCAAAAGTGATGCTATCAAAATGGACACCATCTTAGATGTTATTGTCGCTTTTGAACTTGACTTCGATTCACTGACCTGTGGACAGCATGCACACCATCCGTTGAAATCGACCTGCGCATCTTGAACGTGTGTTCCATATTTTATAGCGCGTCATAAAAATGTTCAATTCATCCGGATGACCTGGAATATGTGATGTAACATAATATGATATCACAAATCTTGTTTTTTAAATTTTTGCTTGTGAAATATTTTATCATGAAATAAATAGTGTAGACTATATTCCCCTTTGAATATTTAGAAGTTAAGATGGGGGAAATGAAAACATATGGGATAAATGGATAATGTGTGTGTATGAGAGAGAAAGAGAGAGCGAGAAGGAAAGAAATAGAAAGAGAGAAAGAAAGAGAAATAAAGTGAGAGAAAAGGAGAGAGAAAGAAAGAAAGTAAGAGAAAGTAAGAGAAAGAGAGAGAGAGAGAGAGAGTGTGTGGGGGGGGGGGGCAATAGTTGAATGGGAAATACCGAGAGAAAGGTTTATAGAATGAAAGAGGAAAAGATTGATGCATAGAAAAACAAGTGTGGGAGAAGAGGCAAGTCAAAGAGAGACAGTATGAAAGAAAAGGAGGAAGGAATACAAAAGTGTGACACAGAGAATGATAAAGAAAGAAAGAAAGAAAGAAAGAAAGAAAAAGAGAGGTAAAAAGAAAGGTTATAAGAGAATACGAGCTAGGTAATGCCAGAGAAAGAAAAGGAGAGAAAGAAAGGCAGTGAAAAAAAGAGTGAGTGGGAAGAAAGAGAGAAAAAATATAGTTCGAAAGAGAGGGAGAGAGAGAAAATAAAGAGAGAGTCAAATGGTGAATAACATAAGGTAAAAAAATTAAATGATATAACATTTAAAGGCATTTAACAATTTGCCAAACTATTTAAATATACTCTGGCGATTTAGCCACACGACCTTTGTAGGTTCCCGTCAGGTTCAGCTGTGGGTTATGGTTGATGGTGGCAAAGAACGTCTCGTCAGGTATCTCTGTCTTCCTGGTCCACTGCAGGACGGCGTGGGCTGTCTCGTTGTGGAGAACGTAGTCAACGAACGCTCTGAAATTACAGACTTGACCGTTTTTTAAAAAAATCTAATTTTAAATATTAATTTATTTTTAAATATTTGTTTGGAAAAAATTATTTTGATCAAACGCAGAAAGGGTGTATTCTAGAAAATATTGCTAGATGTGCATTGGGTCCGTTTTGTTAAAAAAAACTAATTCACTGAAGATCTCTATTGAAGATCTATCTTAAAGATATATCTTGAAATACTATCTTGAAGATTTATCTTGAAGATCTTTCTTGAAGATCCATCTTAACGACCTATCTTAAAGAACTGTCTTGGACCTAAAATTTTGGGTGTTAAGTAAGGGAGAATTTAATTGACCGATGTAAATTCAATAGGTTGTGTGAGGAAAAAAGGGGGGGGGGGGACTTTTGATGCCCGGTCTCAACATTTTACAAAAGTTCGTATGTAAAGCAGGTTGCAATTCAATATTTAATTATTATTTTGTTCCATGTCTGACAAAGAAACAATCCTTACAAAATTGACAATCCTTTATTATCAGTTAACAAATTATTATGATAGTTTTTATAACCAGGAATATAACAGTGTGACATCAAACATTGTTAAATACTAGTCCAATTCATCGGTAAGTACAAAAGACAACACAAATGGGTTGTGGGTTTTGGGCTTGTTGTTTTTTTTTGGTAAAAAACAAAACAAACAAACATACAAGCAAACAACAAAAAAAACACCAATAGGATTACGTGACTAGGTTTGCTTTAAAGCAGCGTTTCTCAACCTTCTTAATGCCGTACCCTTTCAATCCAGTTCCTCATATTGTGGTGATTCCCAACCATAAAATGATTTTCGTCTCTTCTTCTTAAATGTGCGTTTTTCCTATAGTATTAGGAGACGTCTATATAAGGGTCGTTCGACCCCCCCCCCCCCAAAATAAAAAGGGTTCACGACCCACAGGTTCAGAGCCGCTGATTTAAGGCATAGGAAGCATAACGACGTGCTGCAGACACGAACTGCGGTCGTGATGGATCTCTCCTCTCACGGTGAGCCATCTCCCTTGCGGACGTACGTACAAGGAAAGCATCGTCAGATTGGACATAACAATTGGCCTCACAAGTACAACGGCAGGGTTACCATGGTTCTCATACCTGCTGGCTGTGATGTGGACCGATCCCTTGACTGGACGAATGCCATAAGGCGGTCTTGTGTTTTTCCACCGGCGTCTGTTAGCTCTAATGGAAATAGAAAACAGAGAGATCACAGCGATGATAGTTAGAGTACACGTGACATAGGAAACAGAGATATAACGGCTGGTAGCTCGAGCACATGGGAACTAACAAAATCTTCATTTTTCACCCTTCATTAATAAGAAATTAAATGTTTTTAATTAGTATTATTTGTTTTAGAGTCTTGTCATCGTAAGCACCATGAGTTGTCTACAATTCAATACTACTTACGTTTTTATCATCCCCCTTATGTCGTTAGCTCCCTTGTACGCCTTCAGTATCCTGACCAGCTCCAGGTTCGTCTTGAGCGGGAACTCCTGGCCCGTCAGGTTGATGAAATACTTCCATGTCGTATGCCTCCACAAGTCCCTCATGCAGACGAGCTCCGTGTGTAGGACGCTGAACGTCCCCCACCGCACGTTCAAACGTTTGGAGGACAAGAAAACGTTCGGCAGGCAGCGAATTATATTCGATACCGCCCGGAAGTACTCGCTGGGGACCTTCCTGTCGACGTGAACGCAGTAAAAATTATGCGGTCTGTAGATCGCCCTCAGCAGACGCTCGGCCATCTCCAAGTCTGTGTAAACCACGAGTGAGAACGCTATGGGGAATTCTTCCTCCTCTCGCGTCAGAGACGACATGACGTACCCCCGTGACTTGTGAAAAACGTCACAGTTTGTCGTGATGTTCAAGTAAAAGTCACTGCCGAGGCTTGTACGGGGAGCTTGTGCAATTTGGATGGCGGCCTCAATGGAACTCTTATCTCCCAAAAACAGTTTCGAGCAATTGGCTTCGTGGACCTTAAACAGTTGACCACGTTGAATCAGTTGTTCCACCGTTCCCTGATCTAGGGTACACGACGCGGGAACTTTGTTTGTGCTTGCCATGCTCGCGTGTTTTGTCTGACTGGGAACCTTGAATGGCCCCGTGATCTCCTCGGCATGCGGACGGCTGACCGCGATGTGATGGATCAGCAAGTTGCAGGCGAGGCCGAACACGATGACCGCGATGGTATAGGGCAGCTTGCCCCTGAGAGAATGCCAGCACCTGGACTTGTGGAGTCTGGTCAACATTGAGAAGTGCGGAGAATGTATCAACCAGCCATTCAGAATAATCTATCTTTTCTTGTGGAGATGAGGGGACCTATGTGGAAAAAAAATGTATTAGAACATGATTTAGTTGGAGACACAATATTATAAATGTGTATTCATTAATTGTTAGTTCAGCCTTTAAATTTTAACAAATATCACAGATTTTCAATTGTTGAATTTGGATATTTTTAAAAATTATATATATAAATATGCGTATAAACTCTATTTCATTTTTTAAAAAATCAAGTATGTGATTTCTGCATAAAAAAACCTCTGGTAACTATTGAGTACAAGGAGAAGCAAGGAAAGTTCAGTCTAGTGAAGCAGCATAAAGCTGAATGGTCTGATAATGCTGTCGTGGAGCAGCATAAAGCTGAATGGTCTGACAATGCTGTCGTGGAGCAGCATAAAGCTGAATGGTCTGACAATGCTGTCGTGGAGCAGCATAAAGCTAAATGGTCTGATAAAGCTGTCGTGTAGCAGCATAAAGATGAATGGTCTGATAAAGCTGTCGTGTAGCAGCATAAAGCTGAATGGTCTGATAAAACTGTCGTGTAGCAGCATAAAGCTGAATGTTCTGATAAAGCTGTCGTGGAGCAGCATAAAGCTGAATGGTCTGACATTGCTGTCGTGTAGCATCATAAAGCTGAATGGTCTGATAAAGCAGGTCGTTAATGATTTAGCGTCCTCGATTGGTCCTTTACCTCCATCCTATATATAATTAACAACCTTATTTATTTCATTAGCCCCGAAAACTATGTAATAAGTACCGTCATTTATTTCATTACCGCTCTCGACAATTTCCTAAGCGCCAAGGTTAAAACCACCAGCGCAGACCACTTGTATGTCAGGGATTTTCGTTGAGACCATAAAATACCATTTTGATCACAGAAATTTAAAAAAATTTCGTGTACCCGAAAATAACGGTGGTACAACCGTTTCCCGCCACCACTGTTGACTGGTAATGGCGCAGTTCATTTAGTTGACCCCGCAGCGTATCGAGATATTCTTTATGTGTAAGAACTTTTAAACACAAATATTTTCTGCATTCCCTTAGTGAACAGCAGCCAATATGAGCATTTAAACACAACTGTTTTCTACTTTAACCCAGTGCACAGCAGCCCATATTAACTTTTATACACAAATGTTTTCCAGATTACCCCAGTGCACAGCAGCCGATATGATCCTTTAAACACAAATGTTGTCTACATTACTCCAGTGCACAGCAGCCGATATGATCCTTTAAACACAAATGTTGTCTACATTACTCCAGTGCACAGCAGCCGATATGATCCTTTAAACACAAATGTTGTCTACATTACTCCAGTGCACAGCAGCCGATATGATCCTTTAAACACAAATGTTTTCTACATTACTCCAGTGCACAGCAGCCGATATGATCCTTTAAACACAAATGTTTTCTACATTACTCCAGTGCACAGCAGCCGATATGATCCTTTAAACACAAATGTTTTCTACATTACCCAAGTGCACATTCAGCAGCCGAGACAAACATAGCCCCATGACTTGTGTCGCCCAATTCTCGCGCGTTGGCTTTCATCTCGTCCTTGGCGAGATCACGTGTTTAATGGCGGCCACACGTGGTCTGTCATCAAAGAGTAACTTTGCCACCTGTTCAAAGAAACAATATAGTTGCTTGGGGTTTTGGCTCGACAAAACAATCATAGTGTTAACAATGACATTCTAATAGAACAATTTCTTCTGAAGAAATCAGTAGTCACCTAGCACCCGCCAGCAGAGGCGTAGCGAGAAGGGGGCAGGGGGGGACAGATGTCCCCGGGCGCCAGCTAGTTAGGGGCGCCAAAATGTGCTTTGATATTATTTTATTGATGTAAGTAATGGGCTTGAGAGTTGATAAAAGAAAAAGGGGCGCTTTAAAATGGATATTGTCGCCGGGCGCGAATCTTGCCTCGGGGCGTCAAACACTCTCGCTACGCCACTGCCCGCCAGCAAGGATTCAGCTAAACGTATTTGTAGTGTCAAACGTTACCACGACAGATACTGGTTCCAATATATGTTTAATGTCCTAAAGCAAAACGCCACATTCTGAATCAATCTATGTCTACTGTCATACTACAACACACCACAAACTGATGCCAATCTTTGTGCATTTCATACAGAAACACGACACATACAGTTCCTCACATCTAATTAACTCATCCTATTGTTTCATCACATACCCAGCTGACGTGTACAGCTTACACACCCAGCTTACACACCCAGCTTACAAACACAGCTTACCTCTCCTCATCTACAAATGTAATGCAACAGCATACACACTAAAATCCATCAAGGAGATTTTTTTTTTTACTGCAGTTCGATCGCCAACCAGACCTCCTTAACCCACCCCATAAAAACCGCTAATGAGGTTTACGCCGAAATCTATAAAGGAGCCAAACCTCACTGCCGATACGTCATGCGATACAAAATTAAAGGAGTAGAAAGGAACAGATATCGAGCGTCTCCAGGCGAACTGTAATTACTTCTGGTGTCAGGTGGTGAAAAACGAGAAGCTGATTCAGGTTGAGTTAGTGTCGCCCTAACACGTGTCTTCTACAGCGCCCATTTTTTGTAGACAGCGGCGCAAGCAAAATCAGCGCATTCTGGAACAAAGTTCTTGAGTATGCAATTGGCATAGAGTATTTCATTGGAGGCGCTGCAACAGCCCCCCCCTCCCCCCGGCGTAAACAGAAGGCTTTTACTCTCATGCGTTAACTAAAACAATGTATGCTGGGAAGCTAATTTTTGTTTAGCGGTAGTGCTTCTCAAACTGGGGCACAGCGGTCCTCTAGGGGACCGCGAAGTGATTTAAAAATAAAAGGTTCACCTGGTTGAAATTTTGGTCTATTTGCGATTGTTGCCATTGTTTGCTAAGTCCCGCGGAAGAATCCAAGTATTGGTATACTCATTAAGGCTTGAGAACCACTAGTAGGGTGTAGTGGTTTAGGTACCCTGATCTCTCGGAATCTAGCAGCATGTGGGTCAAAGGTCAAATCTTTCGCATATTGTAAAGTATGTAAGTCCGGACCCGGGTATCAGAAGTGAGAAGTTGGGTTTATAACAAAAATTATTAAAATATTATTGTAGGGTTTGAAAGACAAGATTTGGTATCAAATAAATGATAATTGAATGGACTATCACTAATAAATTGTAATAAACTACCACAATTGACATACAAAAAAATTACATTTGGTCTAAAGGGAACCGGGTACGCGAAGCCGCTATTCAGACCCTGTGCCTTTAGTCGAGCGGTTCTCAACAGTGTGGGTCGCGACCATTGTGAGTGTCGAACGACCCTTTCACTGAGATCATTAAGACCATTGGAAAACACATACACCCTAAAGCTATGAAGTAGCTACAAAACAATTTTATGGTTGGGGTCGTAAAAATATGAGGAACTGTATTAAAGGGTCGTGGCTTTAGGAAGGTTGAGAAACACTGCTTTAGACTAAATTAAAATTCTCTTCGATTCGTATGTCATTTGTGGAAGTTTATTTTAGTTAAACTGAAGAAGTAAGTTTATAAACATTTAGTCCACTCAATTATCTTTGATTTGATACCTCATTTTGTCTTAAAACCAAAAAATAGAATTTCAAATAGTTTTTTTAATCATAAGCTCTCACTTTTGGTACCCTGATACGAGTAGCTACTTCGTTAATATATAGTAACAAAATCTCGAATTCCCGATATTATCAAGGACGCTGACGTGTTGAAAGATCGATTCTAAAATGGCAACGTTTCAGAAAATGTAAGTGTGTGCATATTTGTTATCAGGCCCCAGTCATCGTTCTAGTTCCTTATTTATGTAATTATTAGTTTCGGTAAATTTAGTTTCTTATGGATCTTAATCTTGTAGATGAAGATCAATAAATAGATAAAGAATCGATATTATTTAGATAACAATTCAGCTCAAAAATGAAACTGTAATTCGATAAGTGGTGTCATTAAAAAGATGTTCCAGTAAGAACATGTCCCGCCAGAGGGAATAATTTTTAGGTTCCATCTATTGGGACCCGGGTACGATAAGTGAGAGGTTGGGTTCATTTTAAAATATTTAAAATATTATTGTAAGACAACATTCGTATCAAATGAAAGATAATTGAATGGACTATGACTAATAAACTACCACAATTGAAATACAAATAAAGACAGTGTGGTTCGCGACCATTTGTGAGTGTCGAACGACCCTTTCACTGGGATCATTAAGACCATTGGAATACACATACACCCTAAAGCTATGAAGTAGCTTCAAAACAATTTTATGGTTGGGGTCGCAAAAACATGAGGAACAGTATTAAAGGGTCGCGGCTTTAGGAAGGTTGAGAAACACTGCTTTAGACTAAATTAAAATTCTCTTCGATTCGTATGTCATTTGTGGAAGTTTATTTTAGTTAAACTGAAGAGGTAAGTTTACAATCATTTAGTCCACTCAATTATCTTTGATTTGATACCTCATTTTGTCTTAAAACCCAAAAAATAGAATTTCAAATAGTTTTTTTAATCATAACCTCTCACTTTTGGTACCCTGATACGAGTAACTACTTCGTTTGAATTACTGGATTTGAATTATTAGCTTGGTAACTAAGATAATTTAGTTTAATTATATTTGATAGAGTGAAACAAGTTTTCATCGATTTGTCTATTCTTAATTTTATTAAGTTTTATATTCCTCTATTTCATAGCAAAGAAGACTGTACAGCTGTTGATGATGAAGAACCGCACTCTGAACAAGAACTGATGTCAGGCATAATACCTTGTAAGTAAATAGAAAGCTTTATCAATATGTGGAGAAAGGCCATCCAAAGATGGTGTCACGCAACAAGGGGAAAGGGGGTCACATATTTGTGATGAGGAGGAGGGTTTGGTTAAGCAATGTGACATCAAGCCTTATGAGCAGCTTATTTAAAACAACTTCCTCTATATGGCAGTTATTTTCACTTCACAGTTTTAGCTTGTAAAAAGTCATTCTGTAAGTAATCTTTGTGTCCGTCCTATAAACACAGAGGTGCTGGGCACTAACTTTTAACATCTCAACAGCATAAGCATCACTTCTCACTGCAACCCTACCCCCCAGTGCAAGGGCACTGAGACAACTAACGGTAAACCGTTTCTGGCACTTGGGATCTGTTACAACAGGATATGTTTGAAGGTTTAGCCTGTGAAAATAACTATAAGTTGTACAATGCTCAGTACTCATCAGTGTCACCAAGCTCGCCTGTGTTCGATGCATTTCAACCCAGGGTGGCCATTGCTAGGTCAGAGTACTTTGCCGAAGAGTTTCCTTGAAGTTGTGTTGTCTACTCACTTGCTAAGCAACACTACAAGGAAGTGAGCTTTTAACCATGCTTTGACACCTAGATATGTCAAAAGGGTATACTTACAATGAGTGGCCCAGATCTTCACGGAAACATCTGCTTCTTCAATCCCAGCAATGCCTGTGAACTAATAGAGGACCCCTTTTTTCACTCCTCTTGCTTGGATTGTATTTTAAGGCACTCACCATCCTAGAGTCCAAAGAGCCCCTGTCATTTGTCTTAAGAGCATAATTCATTCAGAAAAGACAACAATGTTCAAGATTAGATCATCAATGGATGTACTGCAGACTACCAGTTGCAGGGCCGCGCGTAATTTTCTTGGAGTTCTGCTTCAAAATTCACGATGTTGGTCAGCTGGGTCCTGGTGTTTCTAAATATTGTGTGACTTTATTTATGGATTGCAACAAAGATTTATGTTTTAATACTTAGCAATCCTAATTATAAGTTATAATTTTGAAAACAATAATTTTTTGTTATCTGGGGAACTATGAATATAATAAACATATAAAGCAGTGTTGCATTTTTCAGCCTACTATTTTTTTAAGTAGTGTGATGTAGAAATTATTTTTTTAATCAAGTTGTTCATTTCAAATAAACACAAATACAGCTTCTTCTGCTGAGGGTGAACAAGTTCCAGTAATGTTTCAGCAGTGTTTGAATGGTACATGTCAAATGGAAAGATGTCCGGTTATTGATGATGAAAACCTATTGGTAAGTTATCGAGTTGAAAGTTGTGGAGTTAGTTGCTTGTGTTATTTTTTACTGGATCGATACGTGATGCTAATTAGGTAAATTTAATTTTTAGTTAATTATTTAAATCTTATTAAGCATCCATGAAAGCAGGTTAGTTTACAGTGGGGAATTTAGTTCCTGTAGACCTAATATAATCAATTCGATGAAAGTAATTCAACAAGATCATTGAAAATTAAGGAACATGGCTTTCATAATCCCATGTATGTCCATAATCCTTTTTCCCAGTGCAGAGTTTAAACTGACCTTAGAAAGCTTGGATTTGAAATATAAATATTTGTATTCTCGTATTTATTTCTACGTTTAAATTCTGTTCATTAAAAAAAATAATACACTAACAACTGATTAAATACAACAACAAAAACGTGATTTTAAATATCATTTAACATCACATAATATTGGAGATAGGGTCAAGGTTGCAACAGGACTGTCTACTATCACTTTTTCTCTTTCTTATAGTCATAGACGGGATAATGAGGACACCGAAAATGGCGGGGAGGGGGGATACAGTTGACCGTTTCTAAAAATTATGTGACATGGTCACATGACCCTATAATCCCAAAGCCATAAAAAACAAGATTAAACTGCAAAGCTTTATTAAATCTCGAAGTTGGACTTGTTATAAATTAACCAACAAAATAAAGAGAATAAATAACACAAATAGAGTGGAACAGGAGTTTTGGCGATAAGAGGGAAAGCACTGGGAGAAGTAGTTAATTTTTACCTATCTGGGATGTATAATTAGGCAGATATTAAAGCAAGATTCCAAAAGGAAAGAGGGGGATTTGTCTTACTTGAAAATATGTATAACTTTAGCCACATATGGGTCAAGAAAGCAATCATAAATTGTATCTCCAAGGTTAAGCCTGCTCTGCTGTGTGGCTCAGAAAGCAGGAGAACAAAGAAAGCACGAAAAATACTGCAAAACTTTGTGAAACGTTGCTTCTTAGAATCCTTAATAACAAGTGGTCCACATAATCTCAAACAAAACGGTAATTAAAATAACAAAAAGAAATCCCAGTGGAGCAAGAAATCCTGAAAAGAAGATGGAGATGGATAGGTCAAAGCATGAGAAAGCCCATGCCGCATGTAACAAGATAAGGACTGGTATGGAACCCCTCAATGCTCAAAAACATCTGGTCAACAGAGGTTTACAAAGATTTAATGCAAATTTTAAAAGAGTTCGAGAAGATTGGAAGCAACAGGAACTCAAGAAATTAAGGGAACTTAATCTCAAGGTTGATTATAATTCCGCAGCATCCCCTAGCTAAACCTTATGGATTG